CAGGCTTCCAGCCCATGGGACACGGAACTGTCACCTCACTGCCATCTCTGGGCCCCGGGGTGCACGGTGGGTTCACAGAGGCCAGGAAATCAGCAGGATCTGGGCTGTGTGCAGGTGGCCACTCATACAGCGAGGTCTGCGTGAGTTTCCTGTGGAAGGAAACACAAGCGTGGATTCCAGGCAGCGTCACCCCAGGGAGGCCGGATGAAAAGGGGAGTCCTCTGACAAATGTTTGGGGTGACATGCCGAGCCCGTGTGTGTGGTGTGTGTTGAGGAAGCTGCAACTCTTGTCCTCTTCCCCAAACGGCATCAGAGAGGTGTCACTGTCACTGTGTTTTGGTTTTGGGACTTGCCCAAGGCCTCTCAGCTACTGGGGACTGCAAGGAGTTTGGGCCCAGGCGGGTTCCTTCCTGCCTCTGATCCTGCCCTGGGCCTGCTGCTAATTTGGGCCCAGGCGGGTTCCTTCCTGCCTCTGATCCTGCCCTGGTCCTGCAGCTCCTGGCACGAGTCCAGGGAGGATCTGCTTTCCTTTCTACCTCAGCTACAGCCTCAGGGAGCCGCTGCCTGGAAGAGGCCATGGGTCTGGCCACCGACAACTCCTCTGAAATGAAGTTTCCAAAGCTGCTCTTCTGGGATTGGAGGGTCGGGTCGCTGCCTCGGGGAGCACAGAGCTGCAGCCTGGAGACCGGAAAACTTGGGACATTGTCCTGTGTGCTGCGTGCAGGCGGCAGAGAGCAGAGGGCCCTAGGGCATCAGGACAGGCTTCCCAGAAGGAAGGAAATGGCTTTGCCACCAAGGTGTGGAGGAGGGCAGGTGGGAGGCGCATTCCTGGCAGGGTAACTGCATGTGCCAGGGGTAGGCAGCTCAGGGGGGCAGCGTGCTGGGAAGACCCCATCACCGTGTCGGGGAGCATCAAATTCCTGTGCTGGACAATGGAAGGAAGAAGCGGGGGACACAGGCAGGACCTGAGGCTGAACAGGAGCCCCCCCATCCAAGCTCCGGTAGAGGCCAAAGAGAAGTGGTTTAGGCTGTGTGCTGAGCTTGTTTCGGCTTCACCTCCTCCCCCTGCCATTGTAATATGAAGAGTACTCTAGCAGCAGTGTTAGCCTGTGCGGCTGTGTCCATGGACACAACCTGGATTTCATTTGTGATGTATGGCAAAAGATTACTTTTTGTGGGTGTGTGTGTGGTACTGAGCCCAGGGCCTTTGCGCTGAGCTGCATCCCTGATGCTTTTTCATTTTTTCATTTTTTTCTTTTTATTGAGTTTATTGGTACAATCTAGGTGTACAATACAGTTACATTCATCATTGGGATTCTGTACCTTTACATAATAGGTCTTCATTCTCATTTTTTCCCCTTGTCCCTGCCCCCCCTTCACCCCCTTCATTTTTTAATGTTACTAAGTTGCCCAGGCTGGGCTTGAATTTATGACCCTTCTGCCTCAGCCTCCAGAAGTGCAGGTGTGTGTCACCACACCTGGCAAGATTATTCCTCTCTACTGTAAAAAGCTGTATAAAAATGTAAAACATATTCTTAGATCATTGGCAGTAAAACCACTGTGAGCCATGTGTACCTGTTGGGCTCTACTGGGGCAGCTTGTGGTGTGGGGGGTTGTGGGCAGGTGTCACAAGTTCAGGTGACTGAGGAAGTCAGGCCCTGCAAGGGTGGGAGAGCCACAGGGTGGGATCCTGGGTGGGAGAGGAGAGCAGGGCTGCAGAGGGAACCCGTGAGCTTCTGTCAGGTAACCCGAGGATAAGGCAGGGACAACTTAGGAATAGGGAATGTGGCATTTTGTTTCCAGAAGTGTTCACTGGGTCTGGAAGTTAGTTCCAGCCCCTGGAACCTTGGCGATGAATGAGGCAGGGCCCAGATGGGTATCTACCTATCTGACACACCCACAGTCCAGATCTTGGGTATTTCACTTCCTCTGGCACTTTCTCCAGCTGTGAAATGAGCCAGTGGAATAAAATGGCTGAAGCTGGATGATCAGGGCAGAACTGGCCCCCCCGTCTGTCTGGCTGGCAGCAGCCTTCTGGAGCTCTCTGCTGGGGTAGATGCCTACTCCGTGTCCATCTTGGGCTTAGGGTGCCATGATGGATTAGCGATGTCTGTCCTGGCTGAGTGGGCGAGGGTGGAGCTTGCTGTGCACCAGCCACTGTGGGCTAATGGCTGCTGTGGGGCTGCAGCTGGGACCGGCTTTAAGCAGCCAAGTCCCATGACCAGCATAGAATGTTCACAAACTACTGTGTGAAAGTTTTGGATGTGAAAATCACGTTTGGCTCTCAGACAGAGAAACTTCAGGAGCCCAGAGCCAATCGTACTCAGGACTGGGCTGCTTCATGAGACTGTGAGGTGCCAGCAGGGTAGCTTTTAGGAGTGGCGGGAAGCGATGGCTGAGAGCCTGAGGACTGCGCTGACGTGCGCATTCCTTCCTTCAGTCCTTCGTCCTCTCTCCCACCCTCATTCACCAGGCAGCTGCATGGAGACCTGGAGGTGGGAGGGTCAGTAGAGAGTCCCCAGCCTTCCCCAAGCTCATCTATTACTGGAGAGGCACCATGAAAATGACAAAGCTCCCGGGTCTGGGGGACCCCGGTGGAGGATTTATAAGGAGCAATGGTGAGGGAAGACAGGGGGCAACAGCAGGGATGCAAGAAGGTCCCCGGAGGGAGAAACACTTAAACTGGCCAGTGAGAGTGGTGAGGGGCCCCAGCAGGGAGGAGAGCGGATGACAGCAGGAGAGGGAGGCTCCTGACTGCAGCGCTTCTCCTGGCCAGGAGGTCACACTGCGTGCCGGGCAGGGGTGGCTTCACAGAGAGTTGAGTGCCAGCCCCTCCACTGGACCTGGCCGTGCATGGGACAGCAGCCCGCACAGCCGTCATTGCTGTCACGTTTCCGCACACAGGGCCACAGGTGAGGGCCTGAGGCTGCAGAGGGAGGGTCTTGTTCACTGTCCCAGCTGATGGCCAGTGCTGGGCCTAGGACCCAAGCGTGGCGCCCTGAAGCCAGGCAGGCCGCTCTGCCCCACGGCCCAGCCTCAGGAGCCCTGTGCTTCCTGTCCCTGCAGTGCAGCCGCCCCCACCCCGAGACGTCCAGATTTATGCCACTGGGGACCAATTCTGGCTGACCTGGAGCGTGGCCCTCGGTGGTCCCAAGATGTCCTGGCTGTCACAGGAGGACCTGGAGTTTGAGGTGGTCTACAAGCGGCTTCACGAGTCCTGGGAGGTAGGACCCAGAGTCAGCTGTGCCCCAGCCCCGGGGGTCACGTGGCCAGCGCCTCCTACAGTGCCCCCTCTGTCCACAGGATGCCACCACCGTGCAGTCCAACTCCTCACAGGTCGCTCTGGGGCCCGAGCTCCTCCTGCCCAGCAGCACTTATGTGGCCCGAGTGCGGACCCTGCTGGCCCCAGACTCAGACTTCTCAGGGCGGCCCAGCCAGTGGAGCCCCGAGGTTCAATGGGACTCACAGCCAGGTATGGGGTCCGGGTGGGACCTGTCCCTCTGGGCGGGGCGGGCTCCTTAGAGTCCCAGGCAGTAGGAGTCTGAGTCGGTGCCTGGGCCTTCCAGGCCTGGGCTGCTGCGTGTCCTCATCAGAGAGTCTGTGGAGAACTCTGCCCAGTCAGGCTCAGGCCTGCACACTCCAGATCCAGCTCCTGTGAATGTCAGCTGATGACAGTCGCAGTCACAGCAGCTGTGTCACTGGCCGCCATGTGTCACCGAGGGCTTTACTCTTCAAGACTGCGTCCGCACCTTGGGACAGATTCCTTGGAGCTATGGGCACGTAGATGGCAGGACCACGATGAGATCAGATCCTGGTCTCGTTATCCTGAGGCCCGAGACCTCCCTGTGGTGGTCACAGGGTGTCCCGGGAGCTATGGCGTGAGGGAGGGGAGTGACCGAGGGCTGTCTGCACTGCAGGGGACGAGGCCCAGCCCCAGAACCTGCAGTGCTTCTTCAGCTTCGGTGGGACTCACGTGCTCAGCTGCTCCTGGGAGGTGAGGGCCCCGGTGACCAGCTCGGTCTCCTTCAGCCTCTTCTACAGGTCCAGCCCGGATGCAGGGTGAGCGTCCCTCCTCCGTCCCTCCCCTGCTCTCAACCTCCCCTGCCCAGGCTTCCTCCTGTCCCCAGGGCCCTGGCACAAGCCCCGGGCCTGCTGAGGGCCAGGCGGTCCTTGTTCCCGCCCTGCACCCTGACCTCAGCTGTGTGCGCCCCCCAGGGAGAAGGAGTGTCCCCAGGTGCAGAAGGAGGAGCTCGGTGGCCTCTACATCCGCCACTCCTGCCAGATCCGGGTCGGCAGCCTGAGGCCCGACGGCCAGTACACGGTGGCTGTGCGCCCGCAGAAGGAAGAGATGTTCATAAAGAGCTCAGAGCACAGTGAGTCTGTCCTGCTTCCTGTGGGTTCTCGGGGCTGCACGGGAGCCTGGGGTCACCCCTGGAATCCCAGGCTTCCTCCTGCCCCGGTCTTCCTGTTCGCCACCTTCAAAGAAAGTCAGAGCATTCACTCAAAATGAAAAGAAATTATTCAAATATTTATTGGAAATTGTTTAAAAATTTAATTGCTGCATTTGATGATGTATCAGAACCATTTTGAAAATTGTCCTCTGCGCTTTCCTTTTCCCTTGGCCTTTTCCACCTTCTGCAGGGTGCTGTTCTCTGAGCTCCTTCTCTGCATCCCCATTCTCTTCCCAGCATCGCCCTGGGGGCCCCATGGCCGCTTCCCCTGGGACGTGCTGGGAATGTGCGTCTGTCTCCCCCTCACCTGCTGTCCCCACTCTTCCCTCCTCTCTAACTGGCTCATCTGCTCTGGTGACTGAGACCGGAAGTCCTGGCTTCATTCTTCCCGTAGCCTTCTTCTCAGTGCCAGGTCTGTCCACAAGCAAACTGCCGTCTCCATCTGTGAAATCTGCTCACTCCAGGTTGATTGCTGGGGCTGCTTTGCCCTGGTCTGAGCCACCTTGCGTCCTTGGTCCTAGCTCTGCCTTCTCACTGATCTCCCTCCTCTCATCCTTGCTTTTTCTTCAGTTTTGTCCCAACCCAGCCACCCTGGGGACTCTGTTACCACGCAGCAAATGTGACCTCTGCTACCCAGGGCTTTTCCCTGTGCAGCCTCACAAGAGGAGGGCTCAATGGGTATTGTCCTGCTCCCGGGGCTTTGCACCTGCTGCTTTCTCTGCTGGGAACCTTTGCCTTTGAAATCTGCCTGGCTTTCTCCCTCCCCAACTTCCCACCTTTGTTCCAATGCCATATTCTCATGAAGCCTTTCCTGAAAATTGTATTTTCACTCTTTCTGGCTCCAGCCCCTCATCCACCTGCATTTTCCCCAGCAGTAATCACCACCTGCCATACAGCATACTTCTTCATCATGCTGGCTTCACGAGGGGGAAATTTGCTTTATTGGCTGTGCTATTCCTGTGCCTGGAACAGGGCCTGACATGTGAGTGTCGTTAGTTGTCCTACTGTGGCTGCCTTTGTATCCTGAACTGACTCAAAACATTCTTTCATAGACATTTTGACTTTGAGGAAGAGCTAGAAGTCACACAGTGCCAGACCCACTGGACAAGGGCGGTTGAGGACACTCTCATGTTTTACATGTCTGCTTTTCTGTTGGATGGCTCCTGGCCGTGTTGTGTTTCGTTTCCTTTTGTTTTTATCGTGCCTCATAACTCAACACTGGTGAAAGGGGACTTCCGGAGCTGCTTCAGAAAAGTGGCGAGCGTGACGGGATAAGTGTGTTTGCAGTGAGGCGTATTTTGAGAGGGATCAATGGCAATGTATTTTTGTTATTGTAATATATAAATATTTAACTGTAAACAATCACTGTATACTTCCATCACTCCTTGTGTTTTCGCCCCTGCTGTACTTTGAAGACCAGAGGGAGCAGAGCTCTCTGAGTGATATTTCCAGTGTTCCTGGCCCTCTTGAGATGGACTGAGCCCATCCATTCCCATAACTCACAGGGGCAGCCACGAAGGTCAGGCAGTGTGGAGCTGAGACCTGTCCTACTCCCCCTTGGCTCTGTGATGGCTCATGCCTAGCAGGGGCTTAGCTTCATGGTCAAAGGGTAGCCAGTTCAGCCACCTTCACTGCCACGGGGAGCCAGACCTGGGCTCCTCATTTCTGCTAACCACACAGCAGCTTTCCCTGGCCTCAGCTTCAGCCAAGAAAGCACTGCTCAGGGAGGGTCGGAGCTGCCTACAGAAATGGGGGCAAAGCCATCCCCAGATGGGCAGGACCTGGGTGGATGGGACAGTAGAGAGAGCACCTGTGACTGGCCGGGACAACTAAATGGTCCGCTGGAGGGTGGAGATCATACCCATCCTGAAAAATATTCCTGCCTCCAGTCCAGATGGAGGCCCCAACCCTCAATGTGACCAAGGGTGGGGACAGATACAGCCTGCACTAGAAGAATGGACTAGAAGCACAACAGATTCCAAGATTCAGGTCCAGTACTGGGATGACAGGGCCAAGTGGGAGGTGAGTGCCTGCACCAGGTAGGAGGAAAGGAGGGCAGAAGCATCCTAGGAGTTCCTGCCCGCAAGGCCAGCCACAGTGTGACCAATGGAGAGTTTGCCTCTATGATGACAGCTGCTCATGGTCCCATCTCCTGGGGAAGAAGCACAGGCTCTGAGAGGTGAGGTGACCAGGCCACGTGACCACAGCAAGTCTGAGCTCCCAGGGACAGACGCCCTCAGGGCAGGTTGGGCTCACACCACTGAGAAGAACTTGCTTCAGAAATCACCAAGCCCCAGAGACATTTCCTCTGGGGAAGCTTATCTGCCTCATAAGTGTAGTCTGTGCAGACCTCAGGCTCCTCAGAGCCCACGGAGCAATCACAGGTTGGCCCAGAGGGGGCACTGAGGGCAGAAGGGTGGTCAGCACTGACTGAGGAAAAGGCCACGCTCCTCAGCTCCTGTCTCAGGGCCCAGCCCAGTCAACCTGCTCCTCATGCTTGGATCAGCAGGGATTGGGGTGCAGGGTGTGCCCAGAAACCTGGGGGCCCACTCTCCACTTGAGGGCAGTTGGAGGACTCTGTGGGCTCTGGTCCCTGGCATCCCCATCTGTGCTGTCGGAGGTGGACCCGGCACCACAGGGGACCTAGGAGAGCAGGGTAAGGGAGGCCACTGCACCCTGCACCAGGCTGCTCATGAGGAGTGTCTGCCTGGGCCTGGCACCCAGGCCAGCCACTATCTGGAAGCTGGGGGAGGCCCTGCCCCTCCTGCTTCTGAGCCCCGAGGCCAGGCACAGGACCCAGAGGACAGCCCAGTCGCTCTGCCCACAAGCTCTGGGGACCCTGAGCACCTGGTCATGGCCTCTGGTTATGTCACCACTGCAGACCTGGCATTCACCTTGTCCACAGGGGCCTCATCTGTCTCCCTGGCCTCCCCTCCAGGCCTGCAGAACCCCAGCCTCTGTCCAGAGCTGCTCCCTGCAGGGCCCCCCTCAGCCCCACCCCCTGAGAAGCCTGGGTTCGAAGGCTACGTGGAGCTCCCTCCAACCATGGGGCCACCCCCCACATCCCCTGTGGGCAGTCCCGTCCCTCCTGCACCCAGCAGCCCTGTGCTGAGCCCAGGGGAGCCCCGGGCAGATGTGCCCCCGCTGTCCCCAACCCACCAGGGGCTCCTTCTCCTGCATCAGGAAGGGGACTACTGCTTCCTCCCAGGCCCCCTGTCACCCCGAAGCCAGCCCCCTTCCCCAGGACCCTGTCAGGAGATCAGGGACATGGATCAGGGTTTCCCGGTCAAGAAACCCCCAGACCAGTCTATAGTCCAGGCACCTGCTATTCAGCTCTTCAAGTCCCTGAGGCATCAGGACTACCTGTCAGTGCCCCACTGCTAGGTCAGCAGGCCCAGAGAGGTATGCTGAGGACCTGCAGGCCACCCTGTACCCTGCATCTTCCCTGTCACCTCTCCAGAGCCATTGGTGCATCCTTGCCGACACAGACAGGACCTGGAGAACCCTCCAACCTCAGGGTCCCCTGGACCCTCAGCAAATCCTTTGTCCCACTGTTCCTCTCTGACACACACAGGCATGCACACTCATGAGAGCGCACATACACACACTTTTCTTTCAGATTAACTTATTTCTAGATTCTGAGCTATTAGAGCTTTCTATGCATGGCCATCCGCCTCCCTCTCCTTTGTTTTTTATTGGGTTCCCTTGTCTTCATCCTGTCTTTCCTCTTTGTTGCTGATTCATTAGTGGAGTGAGGTTAGGTCCCAGGCAAGCCTCTCTTGAGTGTGAGCCCTGCCCCACGTGCTGCAGGCTCTGGTGGGCATCGTGTCCACCTCACCACAGGCTCCACAGGCACAGTGTATGTTTCTGAGCCACCTGCATGAGGGCCAGGTGGCACCTTGGGGTGAGATCTGGAGACCATCCACTACCTCCTCAACTGCCACTCCAGGAAATAGGTGTGGGGTGGGGTCGGCACAGCGCAGGGATGCGCAGCCCTGAGTGTGCAGGGTGTGCAGGGTGTACAGGGCTGTCTGCATTCCTGGAAAGCTCTGTTGGTCCTCACAGAAGTGACTTGGGAGTCTTGGGGGTTTTTCTAACTCAGGGTTCAGAGAAAAGTCATTGATGTTGGCAATCCCACATGGTGCCTTCAGTTTTGGTGAGACTAGCAATGGGGGGACATCAGGAAGGGTCAACTGTGTCAACTGTGTGAAGGTTGGGAAAACTGCTCTGTGCTGGGTATCAGAGGATACACACTTCAAAGTGTTTAGTCCAGATGGCCCTGCTGCTCTCCCTGCAGAAGACTGTGTGGCTCTGGCTCCCACTGGCCACAGATCTGGGGATTATGGTTCTTTGAAATCTTTGCCTTTTTGATAATGCAAAAATAATGGCATTATATTGTTTTCATTTGCACTATATGAGCATTATCCAGTGGGCACATATTTTCATGTGTATCTTGCATATTGGTTTGTTTTGTTTTACCTGGCTAAGCCCACTGTGGTCTTTGTTTGGTTAGGAGTTGTCTTTTTCCTGATAAAGTATTTTAAAGTGTTTTAAGTGTAACCATTTATAAATGGTGCAAATTAATTTGTTCCTTTGGTTTGTTGTTTGTCTTATAACGTTGTGCTGGCATTGGGAGCCCTCAACGTTTTCACACCTATGTTGTCATGAATAGGTCACTGGGCTGTTTCTCTAATTTGGGGGCCAAATTTATAAAAGCCTTCTCCAGAGCAAACTTGAATTTGTCCTCATTAATTTTTTCCAGTTCCTCTTCTGCTTCAAGATTTTAGTGTAAAATTTTAATGAATTTGGAACATTGGAGATTGTCTCTGTTTTCCCCAAAGACAGATCAGGTGACTTAACGCAGGTATTGAATGGTCTCTGTGCTTTAAATGCCACTTCTGTGATACACAAAGTTCCTGTCTAGACTGGTTTTGTTTCTAGACTTCCTTTCTAAACTATCCTGATCACTCCAGCTTTATAGTAGATCCCTCCCCCAACCCTGTACCAGGCAGGAATCGAACTCAGGACCTTATGCTTGCCAGGCAGGTGTGGTTAAATATAAAAAAGAACACCCTTGTTTCACTTAAAAATTATTCATTGTTGTCTGAAATTCACATTTAACTGGCCATCCTATATTTGACTTCTAGTCAACGGAATGGAGAACTAGGTAAGAGAATGGATCACCCATAAAAATAGCTGAGAACAATTGAAAGCTATTTCTGTGCACACTGCTCAAAGGATTTCTGGAATCAAGTTATTTTATCTTCACAGCCCTGTGAAGCAGATATTATCGATACTCAAGGGACGGAGATCTTTTGTTCCCTGTCTTTATCATATCCATGTTTGTCATTGAGGGAATTGAGGTACAGAGAGGTTATACAACTTGCCCCAGGTCACCCAGCCACTTGGAGGCAGTGGCAGGATTCAAACCCTGGCCTTGGGCTGGGAGGCTTCCCTTGAAAGTAAGATCTTTCTCCTAAAGATCCACACATGGATGTGAAATAACTTGTGTAGGCTGGCAAGTTAGAAAAACCCAGAACTGTGTTGATTCCACAGCCAGGGGAGATGGAGCCAGTGGTGACTGTGGAAATGTTGCGTTTCTCCATTAGCAGAAAAAGAGGGTGTGTATTGTGGTGCACTGGGATCTCAAGGGACTTTTCCTAAACTCCAGAGCACGTATACGGCTGGTGGGTACTAAGGAATTGTCACAGCTCCAGGTCTCCCGGCAGCTGTGGAGGACTTTTGGAGACTGAAAGGAAGGAAGGGATGAAATACACCTGGGAGAGAAGCCATGAGGACGTCCAGGCCTCACAAGACACCTGCCAGCGGTAGTGGACTTGGGAACAAGAATCGCCTATTGGAAGAGCCCCAAGTGGGACAGACAGGGCCAGCTGCTGGGCCCCTCATGGGGCCTTTGGCCACGGTGCCCTGAGAGGAACACATTACAGAAGGAAGGAGACAGTATGCAGGTCATCGGTGGCTGGGCACCAGGGGTCTCCAACCCTCTCATGGAATAATCCATTACCCAGAATCATTGTCGTGGACAGATCATACCCCCCGCCCCAGCAAACTTCCCTCTGTCTCCAAACTCTCCTCTCCCAGCCCCAGGGGCTACTGTCACAGTGGTGCTCAATTAATAAAGGCAGGGCAGTGGTTTAGGGCAAGGTGAGGGTCCTGAGCACAAGTGACTTCTGCCAGGCACCCCAAATCACCCCACAAGTCCCAACTCAAGCGTGGGCTCCTCACGGGAAGCTCTTGCTCTCCTCCACCCATGTGGAACACATCTCAGCATCTGTGTCACCTACCCCAACTTTGTCCCTTTGCCTGAGTCACGCATTGTATTTCTGGCTCCTATCTTCGTGACTCACCTGGACTGAGAGCTCCCAGCACTCGTCCAGCTCAGCCCAGGCTTCAGTGTCCAGCTCAGGCCTCAAACATCTGTGTGTGTTACCCTGGGTACCTGGATTTGTGGTGCTGGAGATCGAACCCAGGGCCTTGCACACGCTAGGCAAGTGCTCTACCACTGAGCTGCACCCCAGCCCCTAATCTGTGTGTTAAAAGTATTTCTTGCTGGCAGATTCTGCACATGTGTGATTCCTTCTCTTCCATCCCTGTTGAGCTTGTTCTACTGGGGGCCGACAGTGGTGATGAAGTCTGGCTAAGTGCTAGACATTCATTAAGAGCAAATGCACAGATACAGAACTAAAACTTCAATTTCCCTGAAGACTATGACAAGGAGGGCCAGACAGGAGCCAGAGAGGTGTGCTACTTTCTATGCATCCTTCATTCTGGCCTTGGGGAGGACACCACAGCACTCTAGGGCCCTGGAAAGAAGGGCGTCCACCTGAGAGGGGCTGTGTGGCACCCACTCCTCCTAGAGACATTGCCAGATTTAACAAACAAAAATACAAGCTGTGGAGTTAGACTTGAACTTCTGACCAGCAGCAAACAGTGCTAAATTGTTTACATTTGCATTATTTACAATTGCAAAAATTCAGAGACAATCTAAATGTCCGTGGGGAGAATGGCTTGTGTAAATCACATCACTTTCACATGAGCGCCACTCCTGAGAGAGCCTACGTGTAGCAAGACGTGACTTCCACGAGGCCCCATGGGAGAGAAGGTAGCGAGCTGTGGGCTGTGTCCTTAACTTTCTTCAGGAGGGGGGATTTGGGGACCTCTTTAGTGGCGTCGTTGCTTCTCCTGGTCATCGAGTGCTCTCAATACAGACCATGACCTTCACATTCTAACAGATACAGCAGGAGGGCTGCTTCAGAAAGTGCCCCCCCCATAAACTTGAAACAAAAGGGGTAGAAGAAGTGAAAAAAATTGCAATGCATGTGCAACAAGGTGACAGGAACTGCAACTCACTGGAAGTTCCCAGACGGCTTTGTAAGTTTTTAGGGGTGGAGTTTGGGACTCTGAAGAGTCCACTCAAGCAAAAGGACATGTCCCCTCCACCACTGCATGGGAAAGGAAGGAACGCACGTTCCACTCCTGGGAGATGGGAGGGAGGAGAAAGTGGTGAAGAGCAGGGAGAAAAGAGAACATGGCTGAGGATCCAGCGAGACTGTAGAATGCCCTGTGTTTCCCTGATAATCACTAATGTCTGCACAGAACCTGAAAAGTTGAGGCTGTTTTAGTGGAGAAGTTCAGGGAGAGCTTTGGTACCAGACCCTAATCTGATCTACACTGATTTGAGATTGTTGCCAATGGGCTGAAGGGTCCTTGGCTCAATTACACAGAAATCATGAATTGACAGGCATAGCTCTGCTAGCAGCCCTCATGCCACCAGATGACATCGGTTAATGCTGGATGTCATCGGCCAACCCGGCAAGTCGTCTCGGCCTCTGCCAGCCACCCATGGCTGACACCAGCTAGTGCCAGGTGCTGTTGGGTGATTCTGCTAGTAGCTACTCTACAGTGATCTTCACCCGCTGCTGGTCTCTGGAGTATTCCGGGCCAACTCTATTTATAGTTTTGGGTTGTTTGTTTGTTTTTGAGCAACCACTGTATCCATAGTATTCAGAATAAGAATATTGAGTAAATTTATAGGACCTTCCAAGCCCACACTACCAGAGAATGACATCACAGGCAGACTTACAGGAGCACTGGAGTGAGACTTTATTCAAACAGGACCTGCACTGCAGCAGGTGGAGGTGGTATCAGTACACTAGAAGGATCCCTTTTAGACCAACCTGAGGACTGTGAGAGTACTGCTGCTTATATAGCACCAGCAGGCCTGTGATTGGCCCAAATATGAGCCTCCTGATTGGTGCACAGTCATTTAAATTCAAACCTTCTGATCTAAGCCTACTGAGTGGTCCAAATTCAATTCCTTGGTTCAGTAAGTGTAAATTCCACAGGGCTGGGGATTTAGTTCAGTGGTGCCACACCTGTCTTGCAAGCACAAAGTCCTAAGTTTGATCCCCGGTACAAAAAAAAATAGCACAAGTTTAAACTCCAGCCTGCAGAAGTCAGTACACTTGTCGGGTATTCGGGACAGCCACAACTATCATGCACAGAATACCGGGAGATTTGAGCTGTTGGACAGCTGTGGTGTCTGCACAGGAAATGTTGGGGCTGAAACTGAGGAAGCTTCAGAGGGCCCAGCTGTGTTAGCCACAGCTTGCTGAGGTTTGGGTTTTCGGCTTACTGTTAATGTTAATAATGGGCCTGGATGACAAGATGGAAACGATAGTGCTAATAATGGAGCTGGCTTCCTCCCTACTCTCTGCCTCGCTACAGGCGGGTCCCCTACTGCTTCTTCAGAGAGGGAGGCAGTGTCTGGAGCAGGGGGTGGCTCTGCAGCTGCCAACTGGGCCACACTTCCTGTCAGAGAGCAGCCCAAGTTGCCTGAGGGGCGGAGGGAGGACAATGAGGCAAGCTGCCCCAGTCCCTCCTCAGGGGACCGTGGCGGGAGGGAAAAAAGTAGCGGGAGGGGCAAGCTGTTGGCCAAGCCATGGCGCCCTCCGGCTGGCACAAGAAAAGGGGGAGCGTCAGGTGCTTCTCAGCCATCTCAAGATGAGGCAGAGGCTAAGTGCACACAGCTGGGGTGCAGGTTGCCTCCTGGAATGTGGGGACACAAGGGGTTGGGGGCGGGAAAGGAGTGCGGCGGTGGTGACCTCCTTAGGCAATGGAACGGGGCTCTGAGGCAGTCTTAAGCAAAGGGCTCAGGGCTGGGAGGACCCTGCTGCCATGGGCCAGAGATGGCAGAAGAGAAAGTCTTAAGAGTCATCATCAAGTGGCTCCACAGAACAGTGAGAACTATGTGGAAAAAGTGTTCAAATTGCTTGAATAAGTGCTCTACAGAAACACAGATGGAAAGTAAAACTAAAGAAAGAGTTTATCCTCATTAATTAAAGTGAGATACTATTTTTTCTCACCAAACTGGTAAATATTGGGGGAGGAAGGACTACTGCAGTATCCAGGATTAGGAAAGGAATGGGGTGCAGGATACTTACGCTCTCTCTTTGATAGACTCTACTTTTTAAAGCAGTTTGGGGTTGACAGCAGCACTGAGAAGGCTGTAGTATTCACAGCTCCCTGGGAACCCCGCACACACAGACCCCCTAACCCTCACCACAGTTGTCTTAGCCATTGCTCTGATCAAAATGTCACGACTTGGGTCCCTTACACCGAACAGAAGATTATTTCTCACAGTTCTTGAGGCTGGAGGTCCAAGATCAAAGTGCCATGCGATGCAGTGTCTGGGAGACTGCCCTTTCCTCATAGACGAATCCCCTCACCCTGTCCTCACATGGCACTGTGGGGTGTCTTCTAGAGGGCATCGATCCCCATCCTGAGGGCAGAGGTCCCGAAGGCCTCCTTTCCTCATGACCATGGCTGTAAGGATTGTGATGTGTGATATTTAGAGGGGCGTAAACTCTCTGGCCATTTCAGCAATTGTACATTTGTGACAATTGAGAAGCACACAATTGTTACCCAAAGACCACAGATTACAGCAGGGTGCACTCGTGGTGTTCTAGAATGCATGGATTTTGACAAATACATAATGACATGTACCCACCTTCATTGTAAAACTTTACAGAGTAGTGTCACTCTCCTAAGGCATAATTCCTCGGTCACCTGACCTGTTAGCTACTATCGCCATGATTTAACCTTTTCCAGTATGGAAACACTAGGGGTTCTCAAAGTGGGACCCCAGACCATAGCACCAGCCGACCTCTCTGCTGAGACTCCAGGGAAGCCCACTGAACCAAAAGCTCTGTTAACCTAAGCTGGAGTTGCATGGTAAAGTATGAGGACCACTGCCCATTGCTCCAATGGACTTCACAGAAAATTCTGGAAAAGAAGCCAGGGGATGGAGCCAGAGCTCTGGCTGAGGCAGAGGGGCAGCCATTCTTCCTGTTTCTTGTCACTTGATGAGCAGGGATAGACCCCACAGTGGTTTCATCACTTAGAAGAGGAACAATACACCTGAACCTTGACCACGCCCAGGCAAGGACCTCTTCACCGGGATATATTAGTCTGAGCTCCCCCTTCCAGGAGCAGAGGGCCAGATCTAAAAAGGAAACTGGCAGGCTCCGATGCTGGAGGGGAGGCAGTAGTCCCCAATGTCCTTCAGGAGGAGGCCATGGGGGTAGGGAACAGCAGGGACACACCTGCCCAGGGCTCCCCCGGGCTCAGCACAGGGCTGCTGGGTGCAGGAGGGATGGGACTGCCCACAGGGGATGTGGGGGGTGGCCCCATGGTTGGAGGGAGCTCCACGTAGCCTTCGAACCCAGGCTTCTCAGGGGGTGGGGCTGAGGGGGGCCCTGCAGGGAGCAGCCCTGGACAGAGGCTGGGGTTCTGCAGGCCTGGAGGGGAGGCCAGGGAGACAGATGAGGCCCCTGTGGACAAGGTGAGTGCCAGGTCTGCAGTGGTGACATAACCAGAGGCCATGACCGGGTGCTCAGGGTCCCCAGAGCTTGTGGGCAGAGCGACTGGGCTGTCCTCTGGGTCCTGTGCCTGGCCTCGGGGCTCAGATGCAGGAGGGGCAGGGCCTCCCCCAGCTTCCAGGTAGGGGCTGGCCTGGGTGCCAGGCCCAGGCAGACACTCCTCATGGGCAGCTTGGCCCTGCCCTGTGACCTGGGCCAGGGGGATCAGCTGTACCTGTCCCCCAGGGGGCAGACACAGGTACTCCAGGGAGCTGGGCAGTGCTGGCTTGGGACCCTGTGGGGACTCCTGCTGGCCTGTGAGGTCAGGCAGGGAGCGGCTTTGTGGCGGCCCCAGGTAGGGACCATTGAAGTCAAAGGTGGCGAGCTGGTCCTCAGGCCGGCCCTGGGTAGCAGGTGGACTTGGCTGAGTGCTGGGGGGACATTCTGGAGCCAGGTCTGAGGCGGCAGGAGTGGAATGAGGCCCGGAGGGAGGGTCACAGACAACTTTAGGGTCCTCTGTGGTGAGAGCTGACACCTCGCTGTCCCTGTGATCTACAGTGCACAGCCTGTGGGGAGCACAGAGGCAGAGATACAGAGATGCACAGGCCACCTGGCAGTGGACCCAGGACATGCACAGAGCCTGGAGGACCCAAGAAGGCCTGAGCCCACCCAGGCCTCACCTGGATCACCAGGGCAGGTGGGGCACAAGGAGAGCCTCCCCACGATGTGTCCATAGTGCTTAATTCAAGGCCTCCCCTGTAGGTGTCCCCTCATTCTCCGCTGTGGCAGTGTCTGGGACAGGTGAGGCCTTGATGACTGCTCCTCTCACTGTACCCACTGTGCCACCAACTCTCTCTGACAGAAAGCTGACACCCTTGTATTTCCATTTATGGCCCCAGCCTGTGGCCTCTGCAGTAGGGACACTGCCAGGTCAGCAGGGCATGGAGGGTCAACTACGTAGAGATCCATGAGGATGCAGGAGGACAACTACCAAGAGTCGGGAGGTTCTTCCTATGCCCAGCCTGGTGCCATCTGCTTTGGGGCCAAGCCACCTCCTAGGACCTCTTCCCAGGGAGCCACAGGCCCTCCCACCAGCCCCACATGTGTGCACTGGGCAGCCCCCGCTGCTCACCAGGGACAGGAGCCGCCGGCCCCACACTCACCCATCCAGCTCCGAGGAGAGGCCACCCCAGGGCCCCTGCTGAGGCGTGCTCCTGCCCATGAAGGCCTTCATGCTGCCTGGGAGGAGGAGCCCAGCACTTCCACTCTGGAGGAGAAGGACACATGGCCCGTGGGTGGGACGCAGGGAGGGAGGACTGAGTATCTCCAGACACAGCACTCATCTCCCCGTGGTCCAGACCAGCCACAGCCTTCTGCCACCAGCAAGCCCAGGCCAGGGAGGGGCTGCAGCGGCCCGGCTCCCAGGCAGCCTGGGACAGGATGCCCGTCCTGGGACAAGCGGGGCGTCTTCTGCTCTCACCCCAGCACCTGCACACCGGACACCAGGCCTAGCAAAGGCATCCTGACTGTCGCAGCTCAGTGCCCTCAGGAAGGTCCTGTCTCCATCTTCCAGACGTCCTTGCTGAGCCACTGTCCTGCCTGGCTCCCCCCAGGTCCTTCAGGCTCAGCTCAGTGCTGCTCTGGGAGCTGCTCTGTCTCCCACCACCCCATCGCGAGAGGGCAGGGCCCCTCCTGAGCTCACCCTGGCTGCAGGGCACCAGCTCTCAGGTCCCCGCCTGGCCCCAGGCAGAGCTCCAGCAGGGATGGGACTTGTGTTCCTCCTTCTTCCTGCTGCCCAGCTCCCTCGCACCTGATCCGGACACATTGCAGGCCAGGGAGCGGGTGGCAGGGGGGACACAGGGGCAGGAGCAGAGCCCCCACCCAGCTCCACAAGTGGCTCCTACCTGGAAGAGGTGGCTCTTGCTGGGGTCGGGGATTCGTTCCTCCCACTTCTTGCTCAGGCTGGAACACACCAGGGAGGGGACAGTCATCAGACCCCTCAGGGCCAGCTGCTCCCACGCCATGAGCCCCGGGGATAGGGTGGAGAGGGAAGGAGCCCGGTTCTGCCACCCCTGGAGTCCTGAGGGCCCTGAGTGCCTCACCTGTACCCATGGAGGACACAGAAGCGCAGGGCCAGGACCAGGGCCAGAGTGACAAAGACCAGGACGGGTGCCAGCAACCAGGTGGGCAGCGCTGGTGGGAGCAGGAGGAGAGTGGTTAGGGAGGAGGGAAAGGTGGGGCTGAGGTCGGGGTCCCCAGGTCTTCTGTGGGCCTGCGCGCTGCGTGGGGGGCCTGGGTAGGGAGGCCGTGGTTCACAGGAGAGCGGGACAGGGCAGACCCCACAGAGCTCTGCTGGGGACACAAGAGTGTCGGGACATCCTGAGGAGATGGCTTGGGCGCTGGGCCGCAGGGTGCCGGAGCACCGGGGGTAGAGGAAGAGGAGCACTGGGCAGGGAGCAGTGAGCAAAGGTCCTCAGGAGCCCTGCTTCCAGGAGACCCGGGCTGCCCAGTCACTGGGTGGTGGCCGCCTTGAAGGTAACAAAACCTAGGGCCGCGCTGACGGGAGCCTCCTCTCCAGTGTGAAGGAGGAGGCCTGGGGAGACCTGCACGTCCTCCTGTTATTCTGTGTTCGCATCAGGTGCTATTCCACACTGCGACTGAACCTGAACACAGGTTTTAGTTCAGGAAAAACAGCTGATATCCAACGCGGCGACTTGGCTCCTGTGCCCACAGAGGGCTGTGTATGCCCGTGTGGTCCTGGTGCCACGGCTGCGTCACCACTGTCCTGGGGACGAGTGACAGGTGAGGGGAAGGGGCCGTGTCCAGGACGAGCGGAGCCAGGAGACCTACCCCACGCGGTGGTCCAGGCCTGCTCCTCGCTCCACTCGCTCCAGATCCCGTTGTAGGCACCTCCTGGGCTGGGCCTGACCCTCACCCTGGCCCAGTAGGTGGTGGCGGGCTGCAGGGGGGGCAGCGGCATGCTGTGGGCGTTCTTCAGGGTCTCGGTCTTGCTGTCCTGTGGGAGCAGGGGCTGAGGCTGAGGCCTGGCCTGGTGCAGGGTGCAGTGGCCTCCCTTACCCTGCTCTCCTAGGTCCCCTGTGGTGCCAGGTCCACCTCCGACAGCACAGATGGGGATGCCAGGGACCAGAGTCCACAGAGTCCTCCAACTGCCCTCAAGTGGAGAGTGGGCCCCCAGGTTTCTGGGCACACCCTGCACCCCAATCCCTGCTGATCCAAGCATGAGGAGCAGGTTGACTGGGCTGGGCCCTGAGACAGGAGCTGAGGAGCGTGGCCTTTTCCTCAGTCAGTGCTGACCACCTTTCGGGTCTCAGTGCCCCCTCTGGGCCAACCTGTGATTGCTCCGTGGGCTCTGAGGAGCCTGAGGTCTGCACAGACTACACTTATGAGGCAGATAAGCTTCCCCAGAGGAAATGTCTCTGGGGCTTGGTGATTTCTGAAGCAAGTTCTTCTCAGTGGTGTGAGCCCAAGCTGCCCTGAGGGTGTCTGTCCCTGGGAGCTCAGACTTGCTGTGGTCACGTGGCCTGGTCACCTCACCTCTCAGAGCCTCAGCTTCTTCCCCAAGAGATGGGACACTGGGCCCACAGAGGCAGGCTCACCGCCTCTATGTGTACATCTTGGGGACAGGGTGCTCTTCTGTGTGCTTCCTCCTTTTTCTGCTTCCCTGTGCCCCGGCCAAGCACTCACCTCCCACTTCTCCTCATCTATCCGGTACTGGATCTGGAAGGTGTTTTCAATGTGGGAATAGTACATTTTCTTCACCTCCCAGTGTAGGCTGTAGCTGTCCCCATCCTTGGTCACATTGAGGGTCGGGGCCTCCATCTGGACTGGAGGGAGGTGTTCTTTTAGAGATGGTCCTGACCTCCACCCTCCAGGGGAAATTCCTGTCACCTATGTTAGTCATGTCCTGGCCACTTGGGGTTTTTGAGGTCCCTTTTGCACTTTTTCTCCTATAGAAACCTAATCAGCCCCTTTCTTGGGAGATGTCAGAGATGCCTGTGTTGATGTGTGGGTTCCTCCTGCTATCTGGAGTCTAAGTACAAGCAGCACGAGTCGGTTGATTCTGGAACTCCGACCATGTTCTGCAAACACAACACCCAGAGCTGGGCTGTGCAGTCCTGTCCAGCTGCTCCTCTCAACTACTCCAGAGTCCCTGGGATCATCTCGCTGGGCTACCCCACCCCAAGCCATAGGAGGTGTCTGGAGCCTGCCCGGGCTCACAGGCTCTCACCACCCGAAAAACCACCAGGTCACAGCACTGAGCCTGCAACCACCTTGGGTGACCCACTACCCATCCTGGTGATAACCAGACAGATTAAGCCCTTTTGCACCAGCTCCTCCCACTTGGTCTTTTCAGTCCATAAGGACAGAGAATGCAGGAAGTAGGAGTGAATTTAGAAGTTCTGCATTCCAGCCTTGAATCACCTCCCACTGACCAGTCGCTCAACTACTCTGAGCTTCAGTCTAGCCATCAGAAGAATGCTCTTAATCGTGACAGCTTCACAGGGCTTTTATAAAACAATGTGAGGTGTCCCATGTGCCATGCATCATTCTAGGCCCTTCTGGCACTTCTACTCTAGGAACTGCGTTCCCAGGGCAGACCGCACGAATGTAAGTGGTGGATTACAACCCACATGAATGGGCTGCTGCTCTTAATAAGCCCTAAAGCATGTCTGGAGGAGCTTGGCCATCAGGAGCCACCGTACACGGGTGGTTCCCTTGGATTGTGGTCTTGGCTACCTGAGGGGAATGAGTGACTTTGACCCACAGTCTATGTGCCAACACCCTGCCCACAGTAGAAAAATAAATCGTACATCAATATATACAAAAATGAGGATATTAGTTAGGGGATGACTTTGGAAATCAGTAAATGAAAAACCCAATCAGAGAAGGGGAGTGGTTTGGTGGGAGGGCGTAGAGGGTGTGGGCTGAGGGGGATGCTGTGGAATCACTCCAGAAAAAGAGCCTGGAGAGAAGGATCGGGAGACCTGGTTTAGAGGCCTGGTCTCTAGGGGCCTGCCTTGCAAGCGCAAGGACCCAAGTTCAATCTCCAGTACCAAAAATAAATAAATAAATAAATAAATAAATAAATAAATAAATAAATAAATAAATAAAAATAAAGACCTGGTCTCTGTGTAATCAATCTTCCCCTCCCTACCCCTTACTGCTAAACCACTACTCCTTGAGAACATACACGAACATCAGAAGAATTTGTTCATTTTGAGTGAATGCTCTGACTTTCTTTGAAGGTGATGAGTAGGAAGATTGGGGCAGGAGGAAGCCTGGGATTCCAGGGGTGACCCCAGGCTCCCGTGCAGCCCCGAGAACCCACAGGAAGCAGGACAGACTCACTGTGCTCTGAGCTCTTTATGAACATCTCTTCCTTCTGCGGGCGCACAGCCACCGTGTACTGGCCGTCGGGCCTCAGGCTGCCGACCCGGATCTGGCAGGAGTGGCGGATGTAGAGGCCACCGAGCTCCTCCTTCTGCACCTGGGGACACTCCTTCTCCCTGGGGGGCGCACACAGCTGAGGTCAGGGTGCAGGGCGGGAACAAGGACCGCCTGGCCCTCAGCAGGCCCGGGGCTTGTGCCAGGGCCCTGGGGACAGGAGGAAGCCTGGGCAGGGGAGGTTGAGAGCAGGGAAGGGACGGAGGAGGGACCATGCTCACCCTGCATCCGGGCTGGACCTGTAGAAGAGGCCGAAGGAGACCGAGCTGGTCACCGGGGCCCTCACCTCCCAGGAGCAGCTGAGCACGTGAGTCCCACCGAAGCCGAAGAAGCACTGCAGGTTCTGGGGCTGGGCCTCGTCCCCTGCAGTGCAGACAGCCCTCGGTCACTCCCCTCCCTCACGCCATAGCTCCCGGGACACCCTGTGACCACCACAGGGAGGTCTCGGGCCTCAGGATAACGAGACCAGGATCTGATCTCATCGTGGTCCTGCCATCTACGTGCCCATAGCTCCAAGGAATCTGTCCCAAGGTGCGGACGCAGTCTTGAAGAGTAAAGCCCTCGGTGACACATGGCGGCCAGTGACACAGCTGCTGTGACTGCGACTGTCATCAGCTGACATTCACAGGAGCTGGATCTGGAGTGTGCAGGCCTGAGCCTGACTGGGCAGAGTTCTCCACAGACTCTCTGATGAGGACACGCAGCAGCCCAGGCCTGGAAGGCCCAGGCACTGACTCAGACTCCTACTGCCTGGGACTCTAAGGAGCCCGCCCGCCCAGAGGGACAGGTCCCACCCGGACCCCATACCTGGCTGTGAGTCCCATTGAACCTCGGGGCTCCACTGGCTGGGCCGCCCTGAGAAGTCTGAGTCTGGGGCCAGCCGGGTCCGCACTCGGGCCACATAAGTGCTGCTGGGCAGGAGGAGCTCGGGCCCCAGGGAGACCTGTGAGGAGTTGGACTGCACGGTGGTGGCATCCTGTGGACAGAGGGGGCACTGTAGGAGGCGCTGGCCACGTGACCCCCGGGGCTGGGGCACAGCTGACTCTGGGTCCTACCTCCCAGGACTCGTGAAGCCGCTTGTAGACCACCTCGAACTCCAGATCCTCCTGTGACAGCCAGGACATCTTGGGACCACCGAGGGCCACGCTCCAGGTCAGCCAGAATTGGTCCCCAGTGGCATAAATCTGGACGTCTCGGGGTGGGGGCGGCTGCACTGCAGGGACAGGAAGCACAGGGCTCCTGAGGCTGGGCCGTGGGGCAGAGCGGCCTGCCTGGCCTCAGGGGGCCACGCTTGGGTCCTAGGCCCAGCGCTGGCCATCAGCTGGGACAGTGAACAAGGCCCTCCCTCTGCAGCCTCAGGCCCTCACCTGCGGCCCTGTGTACGGAAACGTGACAGCAATGACGGCTGTGCGGGCTGCTGTCCCATGCACGGCCAGCTCCAGTGGAGGGGCTGGCACTCAACTCTCTGTGAAGCCACCCCTGCCCGGCACGCAGTGTGACCTCCTGGCCAGGAGAAGCGCTGCAGTCAGGAGCCTCCCTTTCCTGCTGTCATCCGCTCTCCTCCC